CAAAAAAAAATAACTTTTGTGTTTAGAAATTCACACAAACACATACTAAATCATTATAAATGATATTATATAATATAAAAATAAATGGTATTTTATCTTAAATCTAAAACTTCCAAAATGCATTCACCAAAAAAGCAAACCGGTTTTCCAAGCAGAAAGTCAAAAACTGGAAACAAATACCAACTACCTTTATCAAAGAAAAATAAAATAAAATCCCAGCTCAAAGATAAAAGAGGCTAAATGATTTAATACTCTTTACCTAATTTATAGGACTGAGTAACTTGCAAATATTTCATATTTCTGGTTCTATAATACTCTGCACTCCAGTGGCTCAGCGGTAAGTCTGAAGGCTTATATCGCGAAAAACCTGATTTTTATACCTGTGGTGGACATAGCACAGATAGCTCATTGTGTTGCCTTGTGCTTAACAACGACCAAACAACTGTAATACCCAACATAGAAATATCGATCTATGGATATAATTGTACTATATAGTAGACTGAAGGACTCAATGCTACACATAAAGTTATCAAGATACATATCTCTGTTTATGAACAAGTGTTTTAGTTCGTTTTTTACTTGTAATATATATATATATTAATGTCTACAGATGATTGTAAAATATGCTGTTATTACTAATTTATTTGCGATTCCGAGTGGTTATGTTTTTATGCTTTAAAGATTTATTTCTAAAAATATTAAATGATGTTCATAATTTTTTTCTTCAATAATAATGATACTTTGAAAAGGACAGTTTACCCAGATGAGAATTCGATTGATATTAATCGTCATTTAGAATTAGGAAATTTGCAAAACTTATTATTAAGCATGAACATCCCAACCTATCCAAAGATTAAAGCTTGTCGTCAATAGAAGGAACCTGCATTGTAAATATTTAACATTCCACCAAAGAAGTAAGAACCATGGATCAACACAGGATCAACCATGACATTGAAAAAATTCAATGGTGGTACCAAAAGTATACAAGTTCAGCTTTATGTTTCGCTTTTTATAGATTACACTTCCAAACACAACAGATTCAAAAATATTTTGTTTTATTTAGTAAGTTGTTATTTAACAAAAGTTGCACAAATGTTGTTTTCATTGCTATTATTGTTGATTTTGCAGGGTTACTTCTTTACATATTTGCAAATGTTGAGAAAATGTGAATGGTTATTTCAGTTTTCTGAAAGAAAAAAAGAGGGTCTTTGGTAATACTAAAAACTAAGTGACAAAAATATCATGAAACCAAAGTTGTAATAACGGATTCTGTGGCCAAACCATCTAGTCATGAGAAAATCAACATGCTCAAAAAATGATGCTGAAAACAGGAATTATCGTGTACTTAACAAGATAAATACTGCTGTTAGAGGAGTAATCAGTATTGATAGATATAATTTCCAACTAGAAGAGATACTTTCTGTTCTTCCTGTACCAATAATGGGTTTGGGCACGTTTTCTAAACGTGAGAAAGAAATGTGCATGGTAACTTGTTACTTTGTTTTATAGTAAATCCACATGGGGCTGTCTGCTTTGTCCACCGTGGGGGAATCGAACCATAGATTTTAACGTTCTAAACCCGAAAACTTACCGTTGTCCCACCGGTGGACAGCAAGGTAACTAGAAGAGATTTTTTGCCTTGTTGTTATCAAATATAGTCTACAATTATTATTCAAATGTCTTTTTTGCTATATTTTCAAACTTTGTATTGGAATAAGGAAACAATAAATGAATGAATGACATGTGAAATATTTCACAAAATATTTCTTCTTTGAAAGGTGTTGTTAATTGACTGCATCCATTTAGGAAGTTTTAGACGTAACGTTTCATCAGATCCATGAAGAAGATGCAGTCCATTAACAACACCTTTCAAGTATACTTCTAAGCCTTCTCTTAAGCAAGAAGAATCTTTCTTCTTTCTTAAAGTTACGGAGATTGCTGAAATTATATTTTATTGAAAGTTCAACCTGTCCCTACAGACTTACAACTCTAAAATATATAGGGCTCGATTTCCCGCGGTGGACACAACAGATAGCCCAATGTTGCTTTGTTCGAAAAATAAGCCAACAAACAATCGTCTTTCAACATAATACTCTGGTTAGATAAATAGAAGCCTAACCCTTTTCATTTTGAGCATTAATTATGTAGTAGAAAATTTTTTAAACGTTGTTTTTTCGTTAGATGCGGGATGACTTGCTCTTTGAGTAAATGTTAGCAACTGCAAAAGGGAGGGGAGAATGCCATACTAAAAATATTATTAACATCGCTGAAGAATTCGCCAAAAATGCTTGGTTTCTTACCAATCAGAAAATTAATTGCCTCAAAAACTGTGCCCATGGAGCTATAACAAGAAGCCAGAAGATCTATCTAACACCTGAGAGAGGAATTGATAAATGGACCATTCCAAGTTTATGGAAATCATTCTAAATGCAATTCTGATTTCTCTTTTAGTATAACGAAAAAGAACAACCGAACATGTACATCTGATAAAAACTTAATTAACTGTTGGCGAAATTTTCGTGTCTAAATATTCTTTACATTGGACAATTTCGAATTTTTAGTCAGGAAATCTGATAGACTACTGAGTGTCGAAATAACCAACTGTGCTGAAACATATATACATTTGGTTGTAAAATTTGCTGGTGGCCAACAGTTCAATCGTTCAAACAGAGGGGCATATCATTTCAAGTGTCAAGCTGCTGGACTGTCATATCAATGAGGAATGGAGTGGCACTCTTGGGGGTGAAAGAAAATCACCACAACAAGACCCTCAGCAGTTGTGAACCGCTTTATAAGTCGGCTTGAAACTAGAAACTGGGATTGAGATGACGACTTTTCACAGAAGAAGGGCGTCAGAGGCGATATGAACCGAGAAGAAAAACGTCCAAAATGGTGAAGGGCGATCAATACTATAGCACTAATGTCTAACAGCCAAATCTTCAGCATGAACAGCTGGAAGAGCAGAGGGAAACAACAATATTTTCTCCAAATGTTTTATTTGAATGAAAGAGAACTAAACCAACTGGCTGATCGTACAAGAACTAAAGCTGAATGTTTGGAATGGCTTCAAGAACGAAGGAAAAGTCTAACATCATCTTGCTTTGGTGAAATCTGAAAGCTGCGAGAAACGACATCATACAGTAGAATTCAGTCCCGAAGCGGCAATGTATGCGAAAATTTATGCAGGTCTGGCGATAAAAACTTACAGTGAAATATAACATGCGTCGGTTCAACAATGTGAATTACTTGTTCATCCACAAGAAAGTCATTAAAAACTTTTGATCTCAAATTAGCTAACTGTATAAATCAGAAGTAAAATAATTTGAAGAAAAAAGTAATTTATAAGTCAATAAAAACAATCATGTATGACAGATTGACAAAAAGTATTTAATGGCATAGCAGAAGAATAAAACCTGTAATGATTAGAATGTTTGTTTGTAATTAAGTACAAAGCTACACAATGAGCTATCTGTGCCAACCACGGGTATTGAAACCCGGATTCTAGCGTTGTAAGTCCGCAGACATACCGCTGTGCCACTTGGGGGTAATGATTAGAATACATTGAGTAATCAGTGTGTTAACATTTTTTTTCACCAGTTATCTCACTAATATCTCATGAGCCATGAATACAAATAACTTTCATAAATATAAAATTATTAAAGTATATCTAAATATATAAGAATTATATACTTAGATATACATTAATAAATATATAAGAATTATTTTAAACATTATAAACATACAATTTAATGAAATTAACTATAAAGAAAATTTGAATACAAAAAATACAAAACACCACTTGTTTCTATTTGCTATTAAGATTCACAAACCTTACCAATATATGAAACGTGACATTCTCCAATAGCTCAGCGGTAAGTCTGTAAGTTAATGACAGTAAAAATCAAGTTTCGCAGTAGGCAGAGAACAGGTAGTCCATTGTATAGCTTTGCGCTTAACAACTAACCGATAAACCAATGAAATATTTATATACTTTTCAGCGTTCACTTATTTGTGGTAGTGCACATACAATATCACAACCTGATGGAAGCTATAAAAAAAAGGATAAAATAATCAAACACGTGGTAAAACCCTGGCGATTTCTATAAAATATTTTGAAAACGCTAGAGAGTTATCATTTGTTTCTTTTTTCAAATATGATTTACTAACTATTTTGCTCTTATGTTTTTCAACTACCGTGAATAAACAAAAGCACAATAACTGTTTATCTAGATCCTTATACAGATGTTCTAAAAATATCATGAACCACGATGGTGGTTCATAATACGGATCGCAAGGAATTTCGTAAAACGCTTAGAGAACGTTCGGGTAAAAAGAACTTTAAACAGTAAAGATTAAATTCAAACAACAGTTTAAAACCGTTACTACTGACTTGTAAGGCTGTTCACATACAAAAATGCATAAAAAAGTACGCATGCTACACATACAAGGAAAAGAAAATCCGTTTTAATTCTTCTTCTTTTCATTATTATTATTCTGTTGCCAGCCTACAACAAACACGGCCTGGTATATTGCTAGCCTAAAACAAAAACGGCCTGGTATATTGCACCAAAAACGTTTGTAGAATACTAAATAAGGTACGTCGAATGTGGTATGGGTTTGAGAAATCGATTTTTTTCTTCTATATTTTATCTGAGTTAAAAACATCACAATTCTAGTGTAAACGATGTTATCATTACTCCTTGAAGTTGGATTTTTTACAAATATTTGGTGTTCCCTAAAAAGCTTAAGTACAGGGTGAAACAGGAAGTACCAGACAATAATAGATGAATATTAGACGACTGTAGCATGTACACTATACAATCGGTGTCTTTAGTAAGCCAACCCCTATATTATGCATGAAGTGAAGGAGTAAAAAAAATCAATACACATAATATTAAATTCTATCACACACATTCGTAAAATAATACATAGACTTCACGTGACTTCAACATCAAAAGTTCAAGAGATCATCGCCATCTTGTAGGGCACGCTACGTGGATGTTTACACTTGTCTCGTCATTGAAATTGAAATTGCTCTTAAGCTAAATGTAAACAACACAATGGTTAATACCTGTGTTATTTATGGATGTCACAATATGTCAGATCCTGGGGAAACTAAAAGGTCATACTATGTTGTCCCAAAAGTAATTACAAATCAAGGAGAAATGACGAATGATCTGTCAACAAAATGTAGATAATTGTGGATTGCAAGGATAGGGAGAAAGGACTGGACACCAACACCTTATTCCAAAGTGTTTTCCAATCATTTTGTTACAGGTAAGCATAAAATTACATTGTATCAACTGTACGTTTTTCTGCCCAATATCCAACAATGTCCACGCACAAATACCCTGTATTTAGTTGTCTCTTGTGGCAATAACAAGTGTTAGTCACGACTTGGTGTATAAGGTATTCTCTAATTTTTAACAACTTTTCTTGAAAGGAACTAAAATAATAAGAAAAAATAATTGAAATTAATTATTTTAGCTGCAGATAATATAGTACATTACGTGTACAAAAGCCAAGTGTACAACGTACTAAATCTATATTAATTTTTAATTCGATCAAAATTTTATTTTTTTCAGGCAAACCTTCTGTTCTCCATGACCAAACACATCCAGATTGAGCACCATCACAGAAACAGGGACCACAAAATTCTGTACAGGAACCTTAGCTTATAACTCAATGATCAGGTAATACATGTACTTCATATAATTTATATACATGTAAATGTAGTATTAACCTATGGGGACCCAAGTTAGAGTAGGTTTTCAGTATCCCCTGCTTTTAAAATTTTACAGCTATAATTCAGCTATATTGGAAAGAATAAAAGATGTGTCCTTTCTTTTAAGCCTGTATTTAGAGAGTATTTCACATTAAAAAAATTAATGATCTTTTTATTGCTGAAAAGAGTGTAAATAAACAAACAAAAAACAAGAGAAAATAAACTAGCTGTAAATGTAATGGACACTGAAATTAGTCTATAGTTATATAAGGTCAAATGAAATATATTTTATAACTAGCAGAATTATAGCAAAACAGATTTTGCATAATTTCTTGATTTTTTTGTTTACTCGATAAATGTGTTTTAAATTGAGATCTTTTAATTTCAAAATGTTCATCCTAGTGCAAGTCTTAAATTTCTTTTCAGATTTTCAAGGGTACAACAAAGCAGATAAAAGAAGAACAAACTGTTGCAGAAACACTCCTTGACCTTCACACAATGTTTGAAGAAAGACCTTTGGCTTATGGAAACTTGAATGGACAGAAAACTTGTATTTTTTAAGGGAAAATTGGAAGCTAACTGTCTTGTGAATGATAGTGCAGATCCAAAAATGGTGGGAAAATGAGAAATAAATTCCAAAGACTTATGAGTGAAAACATGAACCTTAAAGAAAAATTATCCGAGATAAAATTTACCCCAGAGACATTAAAAGGGGAGAGAGAAAAAGTGAAATACCTTACAGATCTGTCTGGATATGCTACTCTTATGCAGTTATTTCAGATGCTTGAACCATTTATACTAAAAACTGACAGAAGCTCCTTGACAAAAGTTGAGAAATTAATTCTTGTGCTAATGAAACTTAGATTCATTAAATTTACATGTAATGCATGGATGAATGAAAGGATTTATATATTGGACAGATAGAGAACAATTACATCTTACTATGCCCATGGAATTCAAGAAAAGTTTTGGTTTTGGTTTCAAGATGGCAATTATTATATATTGCCTTGAAATTTATATTGAAAGACCTTCAAACTTGTTAGCTAGAGCTAAGACGTGGCCATACTTTAAGTACCACAGTATTGTTAAGTTTCTTATCGGTATTACGCCACAAGGAGCTGTATGATTTCTTTCTAGTGCTTGGAATGGAAGATCAAGTGACAAAAAATAACAGAAAACTGTGGTCCAAACTTTCACCAGGTGATGTTGTACTGGCAGACAGGGGTTTTAATATCTCTGAGAGCGTGGACTTGATGTGTGCAGAAGTAAACATTCCAGCATTTACCAAAGGTAAAAAAAAAAGTTGTCTCCTCTTGAGATAGACTCAACCAGATAAATAGCACATGTAAAAATTCATGCTGGACTAGTGCGAAATAAATGGACGATATTGTAAGAAACTCTACCAATTGACCTCTTACGAAGTGAGGATGACCAAGATTCTTTAACAGATAAAATTGTTTCAGTCTATTGTGTATTGTCCAATTTACATGAATTTGTTGCACCTTTTGATCAGATATCTGTTTTAAACAAACTTAATATTGTTTTCATTTAGTTATTACTGATACAGTGCAGTCAACCATGCGTACTTTATATATATTGTAACATTGTGATTGTTCAAATAACAGGTAAAATTTTGTTTATATAAGAAAATTTGCCATATATTTGCCAATGGTTATGGTCTTACTGTTCAAAATCCAGTTTATTCCACAAAATTATTGAGCCACCATATATAGTTGAAAATTTTGTGAAAGTTGGTTTACCAGTTAAGCATAAAAATTTCAAGTATTATTGTAAAACATACAAGTCCGTACAAACAGTTCATTCTGTTAATTACAAACTCATTTAGTTCATAGTGATTGCAATATGAGGAACAACATTTGCTAACAAAATTCTGTTTGTCAACTATATTATTCCTGTTCATATATATGTACACGCACCAGTAAAAACAGAAATATTAAACAAACAAATAAAAGATTTAATTTTGATATGCATTTCTTAGTAAATACATTGCAGCATATAAATGTATAACAACAAATATAATACAGCATCTATCACAACACATGGAAAAAATTAGTGTCCCACACAAATATGTTAAAAAATGTTGAAATTGGCAAAAATTTCGGCAACGTTTTATTGAAGCTTAAAATTGACAAAAAATTATAGAAGTAACACTTCTTCAAATACACATATTTTGTTTATTTTTCTGCTTTTGATTTCTTTACTTTACCAAGTTTTCTACAGGAAGGACAGTACCAGTTCTCTTGAAGTACTTGTTATATTTTTACATGTTTAAAATGAAACCAAACATACGGACAACCGTCATTGTCACATACAATTACATTATCTTCCTCTGAATTATATCGAGTATTCATGACTCTGACTCATCACTTCAATATATTGCTTTTGAGCATGTTTTTCACGCTTACATCTGCATCGTGTTCCTTTAGTTGAAAATTCCATTGTGGACGGATAACAGATTACTTTAATTAAACTTTGGGATGGCTTGTCAATGGGTGTGACAAACAAACTTCATTCGTGAGGCTGTAATTCGTCCTGTTCTGAATCTGTACCACTCTTTATTTCTTGCTTGGTCTTTTTGCTGTCTCTTCTACATTTATTATTTCTTGTTCACTAAGGATAACAGTTTTAAAAACTTCCTCACAGTGATTATTTAAAGTGTCTTCGTCTGCAGTTATATAGTTTTCATTTCTTAGTTCTGACAAAACTAATGGAAATTTCTTGTCCACAGTTTAAGGCTTATATTATTCAGCATAGTTTGGAATTAGTGACAGAAGAACTGGTTTAGTACCGGTGTTGTGCAAGCCTTGGAAATAAATGGCTAGTTCATTATCAGTTGAAGGTGGCACGTGTTGTCTATTTTGGGGAGTGTTTGAATCTCTCTTTTTGATGATGTTGCAGTGCAACTATTTATAGCTGCCTCTAATTGTTTCTTTTTTACATTTTGCAGAAGTAAAATCAACATTCTTGATATGTTTTCCGTCAACTTTCTGCACCGCTGAAGGAAGTAGCCAGTATGATTTCTCTTGTGTTACTGCATTTATAAGTTTCACTGCAGCTTCAATAGCAAGAAAACATAGCATCAACATGACTGCAACTCTCTACAAGACAAGCTATACAGTTAGAGTGTACTGTTAAAATATTTTCAACAATTAAGCATGCGTGAAGGGGTGTCGCTGAGAATGTTATATTCTTGCCGACACTAAGCACTTTTCACTGATAATTATTGAGCATAGGTCCTTAACCATACCACAAACAAACTGATTATACGATTTCAGAGACTTGCAACCCTTTAAATCATTCAAAGTACACGCACTTTCCACGTTTACAAAATAGTTTACTCTGTCTGGATACTGAAAGACCGGGTAGTCTTTGACATCGTTCAGCCAATTTTTCTTCAGGATTTCACAGGGGTCTTTGTCTTCAATCAATTTTAACTTCTCACGATATCTTGCCTTTGAAACAACATTTAAACTTTCCTGGTATGTGATCTTCGGTATTTCTTTCGATAATTTCTCATCTATTGTTAACTTTATTTAAAATTCGATATTTTCTGGTGACATAGTAAATGTGAATAACATACAGCTTCGTGTGACTTGACCTAAAAGATGGCAGATGTATCGAGGAATCCCCGGATCTGTGACGTAAATGAAAACGATGTATTAGAAGGTCCATAATATTGGATTATTCGCTGGACTAAACATCAGAAAATAATTCGAGTTTGTACTCGGCTAAGAAAATGTCCCCAGTGGCACAGTGGTATGTCTGCGGACTTACAACGCTAAAATCCGGGTTTCGATACCCGTGGTGGGCAGAGCCCAGATAGACCATTGTGTAGCTTTGTACTTAATTACAAACAAACAAAACTAAGAAAATTTGGAATAAGAATTCAGTTTCAACGACATAAATTTAGTTATAATATTTAATTTGCATGTGAGGTATATCTGTCATAAAGAACAATACAAACAACAAAGATAAATCTATCTATCTATATATATATAAATTCAAAGAATTTATACTTCGGATAACACAGATCATATTGTTATGAAATCAAGAATACTAGATATTACCGAACAATTCTCTGAAGATTACTAACAAATTTGAGGATTAGTAATCTATTTTCTGTCCTGTTTAATAGCAGCAATCAATTTTTACTATTACTAGCTTTATGTTTTCGTGGATGCTATGATTGATTTGTATGCATTCCTAAATATTAGTTTGACCAATTGCTAAGAAAAATTCGTAACTACGTTGAACTTATAATTGGAATAATTAATTACAGTTAGAGTTAGAGCTTATCAATGCGAAAGAGATAGTTCTCTACATAGGCTCCGCGTTTACACTGGATCATTGACTAATGGCAATATAACATAACTGATGTTAGAAAAACACGTAGGTTCAAGAAGTCTTGACAGAAATGAATTGAAACCCTATAACCCGAGTGCTTTCGAAACGTGGACTTTTCTTCTTCAGGGGGAAACTGAAGAAGAAAGGCCCACCTTTATAGAGCAATATAACATATTCTTGCGTTGGTGCCCTCTATTGGTGTAAATCAGTAACAGTTAACGACGTTTTAAATGTATATGTTTTATTTGAAAAGGATGTTTTTCTACTGGTAAAATTTTATACTGCTCACGACAATTTTGAATTCTTATATTATTCTCTTCAAGGAAATTAATGAGAAAGGATCTAGCAATTCTGCTCCTGTGTGATTGTTTATCAGAAAGAATGTGGCAAACCTATCTACAGGGTCATTATCTAGAACATATCTAATGATTATTGTCAGTTGATCTGTGTGGGATATGTCTGGAGTAGAATCAACAGATACTGAATAATACTTGGATTTTTGATCACCCTGTATAATGGTAGTGAGAATATCTTTTTGTAGCAACTTTATGAATTCATCACAAACAGTTGAGGATAAGTATGAAACATGAATTTTCCCTTATTTGAGCTTTTTTTAATGTGTTCAGCCAATAGCTCCAGTATTCCTAAGTAATTGTCATTATACACTGAACCAATTGCTTCATCACTTCCTCTGAATGCTAGCCCTCTGGTGCCACTATTTCTTTTTCTCTGTCTCCATGTGCTCTGTTGTTGATACATTCAATTTTTTTTAATAACAAATTTGATGACGCAACCTTGATGCAGCAAGCTTTTTAGTATCGACTAAAATCTCTTGTAGTATGTTTCCAATCAGAGTAACCAGTTTCCATTACTGTTTAAAACAATTTACATATAATGCAGAAGACAGTGAGTAGCAAAAACAGTATCTTTTATTGTCTTCTCCATTCAGTTGCTCGTGATAAAAAAGTCTTTGAGTATTGGTGTTTGTACTTGTCACCTGGAATCGATTTTGTAGATGTACTGAAATCCACATTCATGTACTGGCATGAGGTAATCTCAGATGAACAAACAAAATCTCTCATTTTATCAGAAACTTTGTGTCCATATCCCAATGTCGAATGCAAAGGATGGATTAGTATCTTCATCGTCATTGCAATAATTGGTTTCTTCCTGTTGGTAAGAGCTCGATTCAATTTGATGAGTGAAAGTAATCAGTATCAAGAGTTGTTGTCTCTATATGATTGTTTTCAGAATCTTGGTTGACAGTTATGTTTTGGACAATTTCTGCTTGAGAGAAAGGGCTCAATTTGATATGATGAGGTTGATGGTCATCATCACCCAGAGATTTAGTGTCTTCATTGCTATTTCCACTGTCTTGGCTGGCGAGGGCTTTGGCACTAGAGGACAAAGCTAATGAATCCATTAGCTTCCTAGGTTTAGCTACAACTTTCTCTAATTTTTTTTTCTGCTTTCTTTGACTTTAATTTTTCCCAACTGTACTTGTGTTTGTCCATCTATATAAAAGATAAGTTGAACTCTTTATAAGTAGTTTGTGTGTATGCATGTATAAGCATACTTGTGTATGTGTGTGAGAAAGAGGGTGTGTGTGTAATGTCAGAAATAGCTACCTAGTAGTTTTGTAACAAATAATCATATATCATATTCTGTACTTTACTTAAAACTTTCAAATGTTGTACTAGGATGTGTTATATTCTATACGGTCCAATTATTGAAGCTTGTCAAGTTGTCAACGAATTATTCACAGCTGATAAGTTAGCCGATGTATGTCCAAAGTAATTATGGATTTTTTACGGCATAACAATTTGCAAGTTATGTTCAAGAACCACAAACAATTGATAAAATTTATCCTAAAAGCTTAAAATACTGTTATATACCTTGTTAACGATGATTGAACTCTTTTCTTGAACAAAATCCGAAACATTTGAGAATGAAGAATCGAAAGATATCTTCAATCTAGCCTAGCAACTTAGGACTAGTCACATTCTAGGCATACTGCTTGATCATCTGATAAGAAGTGGCGTGTTTGGCACAAGCCACAAGGAAGGAGCCTGGCTGATAGCATCATAAAAATGTAGAGTGAATAGAGTTTGATTGGCCATCATTCGATTAGCGTGACCAGGTCCAGCTTCTCTTAAATCTAGCCCATGGACATTGCAAATTATATGCAAATGTGCTAGGTCAAAGTGAGGCCACACCTAGTCACACTATTCATGAGCAAGCCAATCAAACCTCTGCACTCTACATTGCATAATAGACCTACCTACATCACATACAAACTCTCTCTTTTTTTTTTCCTTCCCTCTCTTCAAAAATAAGTGAACTTGGTCGAATGATTTTTATTAAGTGTTTTCCTAAAAACAATAAAGATGGGTCTTGTTTATATAATGGGTCTATTTTGAGCCCCGGCCTGGTGGTACAACGCCAACAGTCCTTGCCTTAATCCGCCCTTGTCCCTAGTATAGGGTGACAGAGCAGTGAGTTTCATTCAGTAGCTCATACATACGCTCTGCATAAACCCAAGTTTTTGTGCTTTTTATTTTTGATACTTTCTCTAGCAGGAGAGACTGTCATCTGCCCCATGGTTCATGGTCTTTACTATTGGTGTTCATGCACCACCTACACGTGCATAGAAATAGTACTGACTGGCAGATTTTATCTGCTAGCAGCGCTACTAGTTCTTCTCAGGCAATTTCTAATAGACTTAACCAGGACTGAAGTTGTTATTCTGGTTGCCAAAAGTCTGGGAGTTCTGTACATACTGTCCTATCCAGTCTCAGACTCACAAGATGCCATTCAACCTCAGCAACATTTTGGCATCCATGTTTTCTTCTAATTGAAATTGATTATTAGGGGTAATGCCCATTCTACTGTTTTATGTCTGTGGCTGCAGAGAAATTGAAGTCATGGAACTTTGAAACACCAATAAAAGTCCAATGCCAGAAAAGGACTTCTCCTAGACCTGACAACTCTCGCATACGACCATTTCTCTTCAGTGGCTAATTCTTGCTCTCAGTCATGAGTACTTCTACTTGCAGGAAATGCCATTTCTTAAGTAAGAAACATTTCTTTAAACTCAATAACACAAAAGTTCAAGTAAGGGTAATACACACATTTGCAGAAAACAGAAAACTTTGCAATAATATCTTGTGGTCACGGCACAAAATGTTTCTAATTCCTACCTACTTTGTAGTATTTTCAGCTAAAACCAATTCCCGAAACAGTAAATCTGGCAGATACATTGTATAACATAAGGTTCGGCAAGATATACTGCAAAGTAATACCGAGTTCCATTAAAACTAACTTAGCCTATGCTAAAAAACAAAAGACTAGACTAGACATGATGTGTAATATACAATGAAACAAAGCAAAAGTGTGTGTATGCAACACCCTGGAGAGATTGAAAGTCGGTTTTACTTAAGAGATAGATTGATCAGGCTGGTTATATTCCCTCAAGACTTGTTTCCAAGCTGACCAACTCACCCAAGATGATATTTCAAACTGACTAACTCTCACGTTTCTTACTCTGATTAGTAACATCGGACTTACCACGTGACTGATCATTCCCATTCAAACATAGGGTTTTGTAACTTCGAGATATCACCTTACCTGCTATTGTAGGACAATGCTGTCAACTTAGTTACACAAAGTGCAGTTTTTACCTATACCCTTACTAATAGACCAGGTGTCATCCCCAGAGAATGACAAAAAACAGCAATAGCTAGAAGGAAACCAACTTAACGACTTTCTTGATCATGTGTTATAAACGAATATACCTAGAATATACGACAGTTTTTGAAAAATTCTACGTTAAAATAAGAAGTTAAAAAACGCATGGTATTTCTGCATACCAAAATAGCAGTTAAAATATGAAGTGTGACTGTTCAAATAATGAACAAATTCTTAAAGTGTTTTTAGTTCGAAAACTGTGAAGAAAATAATTTATCATGTGTAAAATATTTCTGATATAGATAAGCTCGAAAAAGTAAAAAACGCATTTTTTATTTCTAGGCGTTAATCGTTATCATTCGCTTCCTTGGTTTTGTTTCAATGCCTGGTTTTAGCGAAAGGTTACACAATGGGGCATCGACACTTTGTCTGACGTGGGGATAGAATGCTGAATTTCAGCATCCTAAACTCGGACACTTATCTCTGAACCACCGGGAGATCATTCACTTCCAAACGCGTAGTTAGTGATGACAAAATTTTATCACAGGTGGAAGAAAATAATTAAATATCTGACATTTTTAATAGGATTCGTTTTATGGAAAAAGTTGTACATCTTTCTTCACGTGCTAAGTGTACGCTTTGATTTCCAAAGTTCAAATAAAGGAAGCATATTTATTTTATCTCAG